AACAAGAAGAGGAAGCACCAAGAAGAAGATATTTATTGACTGTTTCAGTCGTCTGATCCTTTCAGTGTACGGGTGCTCACACAAAACTTACCCTTATCTTGGCGGTACCGCTGGCGTATCGGAGGTGGACGGTGAAGACCTCCCTCATCTCAGTGATGTTATCCCACAAGATGTCCACACCCACTTCCACACGAGACATGTTGGCCTCGAAAGTCAGCTCTGAAATTTAATAATGAGCATCGCACAGTTGACGTATAGAAGACACTCATTACTATTATGATGGTGAAATGGTATAGGTTTGACGGCCCAATCAACACTATTATTAGGTTATTTTACAGCATCCGCATATCGTGTTTTACTACCGTATCCATACGACGTGGGGAACTCTGTGCCATCACTTTCCGAAGAGGAAATTTACTCGTTAATCCGATACGTACGCTTTGCGTAGCAGTCTGGAGAAATACTAAAAGTTTCAAAGAGATCTTCGTACTGTACTAGAAGTATTCTAAAATGTCAAGAATGCAAACCCGGGATACAAAATGAATCTAAGGCCTACGGATAGGGTTAAAAGGCGGGAACTCCGACTTTAAACATCATCTTCCGAAAGGACCGAGCCACCCAAATGAAAAATGCATGCAAAGTGCCGTTCCCAAGGACACAACGTCGGACCAATTTGTTAAAATAACGACGCCCTTGGTGGTACAAGAGAATGGATAAAGTAAAGTAGAGTTTAAATATGGCTAAGCCTTACATAACTAGAACCTGTGTGTGGTTGGCAGATGCTCTAGCGTGGTTTGCTCGTCCTTCTTTCTTATCAAACATCTATTATCCTCATCTCTCCTCCTTTTTTATATTTGCCAACTTCTAGTAATATTTCTAATATTCGGTACTCATGTGAGCTAATTGTGTTGCAAGTGCAGTAAAACTCTTACTAAAACGATAATTCGATTCTTTTCATGGGTCAGATTCTTGCTCTCACCTTTAAAGAAGCCATTATAGTCCTTGCCGGCGTTAGCTGAGCCGTCCTTCGTGTTAAGTGTAACGATGGCCGTTTCCGATAGATCCCCCTCTCTCAGCACTGGAATGGTGACGCTCGTGAACTGCTCCTGGAACAAGGGCTCCTTCACGGAGTAGCTGCTCGCGGATAGCTTGATAACTGGCTCTGTGGAGTGGACGGGAGGTGAGATATGGGATCTGATGAATGGAGACAGGGAGGGATGGGATGCGATGGGGTGGGGGTGAGGTTTTATGGGATTTAGGGTAAGATGGGATATGGTAAAACGACATGAGATAGGGTGGGGTAGGTTGGGGTTGGATAAGGGAAAAGACAGGTTATGGTAAAATGACAAGAGATGGCATGGGACGTTGTACGATATGCTTTTGGATGGGACAATGTAAGAAGGGGTGGGATTGGGAAGGGACATCCAGAACAAGGGTTCCTTCCTAGAATAACTGCTTGCGGATAACTAGATTACTGGCTCTGTGGACGGAAGGTGAGATATGGGATCAGATGAATGGAGACATGGAGGGATGGGACATGATGGGAAGGGGGTGGGGTGTTGTGGGATTTAGGGTAAGTTGGGACATGGTAAAACGACGTGAGATGGGGGTGGGATGGGGTTGGATTAGGGAGAAATGGGTAATTGTAAAACGATATAAGAAGGGGTGTGGTGGGGTTCGATAAGGGGAAAGATATGGGTCATGGTAAAACGGCATGAGATAGGATGGGACGGGGTGGGACATTGTACGATATGCAAATGGACCGGACAATGTAAGAAGGGGTGGAGAGGGTATGGGGACTTCCGAAACAAGGGTTCTTTCACGGAGTAGCTGCTAGCGGATAGCTTGATTACTGGCTCTGTGGAGTGGACGGGAGGTGAGATATGGGATCCGATGAATGGAGACAGGGTGAGATGGGATACCATGGGATGGGGGTGGGGTTTTATGGGACTCGGTGTAAGATGGGACATGGTAAAACGACAGGAGATGGGGGTTGGGTAGGGTTGGATTAGGAGGAAAATGGGTTACGGTGAAACGACATGAGGTGGAATGGGGTGGGGTGGGGTTGGATATGGGGGAAAATGTGCCATGGAGAAGCGACATAGGATGGGATGGGACGTTGTGCCAATTATGCAATTGGATGTGACAATGTCAGAAGAAGTGGGATGGGGCGGGGACTTCCGGAACAAAGGATCTTTCGAAGAGCAGCTGAAAGCAGATAGCTTGATTACTGGCTCTCTGGACGGGAGGGGAGATATGGGATCAGATGAATTGAGATAGGGAGGGATAGGATATGATGGGATGAGGGTGGGGTTTTACGGGATATGGGGTAAGAGCGAACATGGAATGTTGAAGGATATTGGGGTAAGATGGGACATGGACTTTTGAGGGATATGGCGGACGTGGTAATTCGACATGAGATTGGGATTGAGTGGGGTGGGGTTGGATATGAGGGAAAATGGGGCATGGGGTGTTTGCAGGACATGGTGAAACACACACACACACACACACACACACACATACGCACACACACACACACACACATACACAAAACACTCACCTACAAACATCAACACACTCCAACAAAATCCAGGGGGCTCTCGCGGTCAAGAGGTTAAGGTGTTCGCCTCTCATTCAATAGGTCCCGGATTCGAAACCTAACAGCAGCGGGAACACTTTTCTTTTCTAAAATGTTCTCCTTTCACCTCCTTTCCTGCTCTCTAACCATGCTCTGTCGTCTGTTTCCATCTCCAGATTCTGC